TACCTTCTCTTGTCCATAATTTTCCCTTCGCCTTCTTATTACGGAAGGTGAGAAGTTCTTGGAGGGAAGGATGCCGGGGGTCTATTTGGAAACAGTCTCTCTACCCTAGGGTAGGAGTAAGGTCTGCGTACACACTACCCTCCCCAGACCCCACTAATTGGGATCATACTGGGTTGTTGTTGTTGTTGTTGTTGTTGTTGTTGTCTTCTTATTACGGAAGGCTCAGACACTTTTTTCTGTATTCCATCTCAATATCTTTGATGTCTTTAGCCGCTTCAAAAGAATGATAGATGATGCTGTAATTGTATTGGGAATTTCTGTTTGTGTCTAATATCGTACTTGACACACAACCTAAGTTGCATACACTTAAAAGTCTATCATAGGGCTCTAACTGTGAGACAAATACATTTAACATAGTATTTATGTTTGATAATGTTGATTTATAGGCTTTAAATGTTTGGAAAGAGGAAAAGTTCTTCGCTCAATAGTAATTGTTTCTTAAAAAGGTTGGAAACTTATATATTTGCATGAAATAACTTCTAGGATCACATGCTTTTATTTTCTAGGTGTAAAAGAAAGTTGTTTGAGACAGTACAAAGACAGCTCTGCAACTTCTTTGGTGTTATGAAATTTGCGGTGGATCATTGCTCTTTACCAGACTCGCACTGCATTTTTATGTGAAGTTGGACAATTTTGCTGAAAACTATGTGTTTTCTTTGTTATCCTCGTGTGTTAATAACTTGAAAATATTAGTTGAAAGCATTTGAGCTTTCCCTTTATATGTGAATGCTCATATCTCAACAGATATTCTTTTTATTACTTTAAACAGGCAAGTGGATCAAGAAATATGAATCCTTCTATTGTCAATACTCTTCTGTGTTATCCGAGGAAAACTTAATTTCTTCAGTTGTTGTTAAATTAAACTTAATTTCTTCAGTTGATGTTAAAATTCACTTCCTTCTCCTTTCAGAGAGCCTGTAACATCCTCGCAATACAAATTTCTATATTTGGCACTGCTATGTAGTCTTCTTTCTAATTTTAGTTTCTACAGTATTTTCTATGTTCTGTGCCTTTATTGTCTCTTTTCCTGTTTACTTAGCCTCTGATCCATTTTGAGTATATATTTGTGATCATGGTGTCTTTCTTTGTACAAATAGTTGGCTTTTTAATTCCTTTTAATCACTGAAGCAATTCTCTCGTGGCTTATTTGCATATCATTTACTTTAAACTGCCAAGGAATCCAGCAATTCTCTATTAGACTAATTATGAAGTTGATAAATTAGACTGTTTAGTAGGTGGATGGCTCATTATTTTGGTAGGGGGAAGCTCAGGAACTCGCAGGGTGCAAAGGTGTAAAAAAAACAAATCTTTTCTGAAGCGTATGGATATTTTAACTTCATATATAAATCTAATTTCAAAGTGTGCTAGCTTTTTATTTCCTGATTCATTCATATGTCTCCGTGTGATTTATAAGTTACGGGTTCGAGCCGTGGAAGCAGCCACTAATGCTTGCATTAAGGTAGAGTATCTATATCACACATGCGGCCCTTCTTTGGACCCTGTGTAAACGTGGAATGCTTTATGCTCCACACTGCCCTTTTTCATCGGCTCTCTCTGCTTAAAAGTTTGTGTTGTTGTTGAGTATTCTCCAATTTATGTAGTACTTTTAGCTTATTGAAAGTCAATTTAATTAATTTTTAAGTTAAATTAGATTTGATTAACTCAATATTTTAAAGTTACAATTTAAATATTCAAAAACTATAAGAAAAGTACAATAATATGTTTTTTTTTTCTCCTGTCAATATGATGATTAAATACATTTTAAAATAATGATTAACATGAGTGTCACATGAATTGGGACAAAAAGAGTACTGCATCTATTACGATACCATAGATAGGTGAGAAGATAAATATAGGAGGTTAGGATTTAATTAGAATCCTAATAATCTAGATGAAAATCGAGTGTTTACTTTTGAATATAAAGTTTCCAAAAATGGCATGGTCAAACAATATGAAGGAGCTTATCAAGTTAATACTTAAATTAGTAGTCATGCTAGCAAGTCATGTGACAGATAAGTTTGTTTAATGTTTCTCATAGATGATTGATTCCACGGACAAACATAAATCCAACGTTAGTTCTTTGGACCATTTTAAACCAATTAATAGCATAAAAATAATTGAGTTTAAATTTTATGTAATGATTGCATAGAAAAAAATATTTGCACAATTAATCACTTATAAATTAATTTTAAGTAAATTTTTATGATAATTGGAGCTCCTGAATTACAAGGTGAAAGATGTCTCTCACTATAGGTTGAAATATTGCATTTCTTATAGTTTGCTTTTTTAGATTGATAAAAATATAGGGAGTTGGGGCAGATTGAAGCGAGGGAAAATAGTAAAGTTCTTCCCTTGAGATCGACTACAATAAGCTTGCGACTCTAGTAGAAAGAAATAATAAACTCTCTACTCCATTTGCTTGATAAAAATAGTAACTAATATGTATGCTATCATTCGCGAAAAAACATTTAGTGTAAGAAAAAATCACATATTTTCAATATATATATATATATATATATGCCAAAAACAATTTTGGAGGCAATGAGAAAGAAGGACAAGGGGGTGTTGGGGGTGGGGTAGGATGGTGCTGTTGGGTGGGTG